ATAAAGCACAAATGTCAATTAGCTCAACGATTCTACTTAACTCTTGACACTATTTAAGAGGCATTGGCGGCTGTACCCATCACTGAGAAAACGTCTTCATTGGTAGCATATTACTATCAAATCCTAAAATTTTCTAATAGGTCTTTCCATTTTTCTTTAAAAACTTACTTGAACATATTATACATATATAATTCCAAACTCTGTCGAATCTAACAACTGATCCAGATGTGGGATTTTCTACCTCTAAGGTATGGAATTTATTTCAATGCAAATATATATAAGAGAGAAAGAATTCATTAATGCTAGAAAAGTTGAGTAAGTGAAGTGAAAATATATGTCCGATCAATTTCAATATTATTTTTGAAAGATATTTAATTATTTAAATCTTTAATCTCGAAATCTGTTCCAAATTAAATTAATTGTGAAGTGATGAATTAATAAAAATATTAAAAAAAAATCTTTACTTCACTTCCTCTCAATCATGATCGCTTATTTTAGACAAATTTAATGCCGGCAGTTCCTTTTATTTAAAAAAAAAACTAATGGAAGAACTACAGTCGGCAGGATAAAGTGAAATTTCAAAATATACTATTTTATTTTAAAGCATAAAGTACAAAGTTATTAATTCAGCGGCGGAATGAGCAAAGTAACTTAGAAAAGACAATTTTTTTTAGCTTAAGCCAAATATTAAAAATTTAAAACGTACCTAGTTTTGGTTACTTAGCTATGTCTAATTAATTTTTAAAAATCAGTTAGTGTCAAGACATTGGCGGGACAATGACCGTACTGCTACTTTTTAGGCAAAATTTTACCTGATTGTCACTTCTGAAAAAAAATTTGTCAAAATGCCACGCCTGAATCCTGCTGGTATGACAAGCGGGAATGGACTGGACACGTGGCAGCGTCTGAATGGTGAACCATTCTCGCTGGGCTGCTCAGTTAGAATGACAGAATGCTGACACGTGCCAAAAGCACAGGCATTCTCTGGATGTCTGTACTTTTGCCACGTGTCAGCATTCTGTCATTCTAGCTGGGCAGCCCAGCGAGAATGGTTCACCATTCAGACGCTGACACGTGTCCAGTCCATTCCCGCTTGTCAGACCAGCGGGAATCAAGCGTGGCATGGCAATTTTTTTTTCAGAAGTGACAATCAGGTAAAATTTTGTTAAAGGAGTGGCAATATGGTCAATGTCCCGACATTGGCCAGAGTCAACATGACATTGGCTCCACCACTAATTATTATTATTAATTGAAAAATTAAAGGAGTAAATCGAGTACTTCATAAGTTATTATATATGTGTATATATTTTATGACAATCTCAAACATTAACTTTTTTCAATTAACAATTACAATTACAATTACAATTTTATTCTTTTAAAATACATACAAAGGAGCCAATTTTAATTTAATTTAACATTTACAATTCCTTTTTATTTTATTTTTATATATAGTTTAATGTTTGAGATTTCGTAAATAGATCCTCCTACAGAAATCCGATTTTTTTGGGGGGAATAATAATTTATCTAGGCTATTGTGAAAATTATATTTTTTATAATTTATGAAAAAAGTATTAGCATAAAATTACTAATGATATCACAATTTTGTTCTGCATTTGCAAGACTTAAAAAAAAAAGAGATATAGAAAATTATTACAAGATTAAATAATAAAAAATAAATAAAAATTAATTTTAAAAGTGAAACTCTTAGGAATAGAATTTTATTTTCATTTTTGTTTGTATTTATTTTTGCGATTAACTTAATAAATTTAAAAAAATAAACATGCCATTACTTATTGACTTTAGAGAGATACTCATTCTAAAAGAATATTTTTTCTAACAATAAATAATTAATATCAAGTCACGTTTCTTTTTAAATACAATAAATAAAAATAAATTATTATGCTTTGTATTTTCAGTAAAAAAGGCAGGTGATTAAATAATATTTAATTATTAATATTAATTTCGTCGAAGAAAAAAAGTTACAAAAAGAAATTTCCCGGAAAGCATTTCTACAAGACAGTCAGCGTTTTGAATTAAAACTTTTCTAGTCTAATCTAATAATAAAAAGTATTCACGTTTTCTGTGCAGAGGTTAGACTTACATAATATATTAGCCGTACGTGGTGGGGTTTCTCTTATGATGGGTTACACATGAAGCTAGGATCATAAATGTTTGCCAATATGGTATCACATATATGGTTAATTGAGTACATTTTGATCGCATAAAGAAATTAAAAAGCTTTGTTCTTATGTTTATTTTGACCGCATAGAAAAAGGCTTATCGTTGTAACCCAAAGTACTTTTATGGTTCCAATTCATTCTTCTTGAGATATTTGTGATGAAACCATATAACTCATAGTACCAATCACGCTGTTTAATAAAGTGGAAATGAAATTGTAGCAACAAAGACCAAAAATCAAACCATCATATCAATCAAGCATCCATATGGGGTCTACCTCACAATAAAAATTAGTGGGCCCCTTCACATCTAGTTAGCCAAATCTTCCACTAGTTGGGGGGACTTTAGAAAGCTTCACTTATTTTCCCTGAAAGTGACAATAGGAAATCAGGGACCACATTTGATTCAGCTCCTTATTGTTCACAAAATTAATAATACGTATCTATCTGGAATGATTATAAATAACCCTTTTCTTAAAGGGAAATATTAGTCTCCTTTTACACGAGGTAGCTTATCTCATTTTCTCTCACTTCGATTTTCGCACCTCACTTTTTTTTTCTTTTTCTTTTTTCTTGTAATGGTGGGACCCACCTAGTTTCTCTCTACAACATAAGATACCTATCTTATGTAAAAGGAGATTAATAAAACCCAAAGAAATGACTCGCAACCCATCTTTGATTTATTATGTTAACAAATTTACTTTATTTTGTTTTCTCTCTCTTTCCAAATTAACAAAAAAATATTCAATATGAATACGACATATTTTATGGGTAACATCTATGAGTTATCGCGATCTATATATAAAATTGTCAACAAGTTTACATGTACCAATATCGCAAACAACTAACAGAAAATAAAATGAAATAGTTCGTGGGAAAAATAAAAATAAAATATCGTTATTTTAATAAATAATTATAAATATATAGCGGTTTAAAAATTATTTACAGATCTATAACACTCATTTACGTTCAAATTGAGCGTAAATGGTCACGCCTAAGTTAGGCGTGACTCACGAGACATTCATGTCTAATTTAGGCGTGACTTATATAGTCTTGACACGTGACATAAAAAGTTAGCAGTTTAATCGTAAAACTTCAAAAGGTCATAATTTTTGACTCGGGTATCAAAATCAGATAAATTTTTTTATTCCACATAACTTTTTGAGATCTATACAATAACACCTCAATTAATATATTTTATCTCTCACAAAGACAATTTGAATTTGCAACAATTGTACCAAAAGAGCGTTTAAATCCAGAAGACTCTTAGTTTTTTCTGAATCAATATCAAACACAGTCTTTTGCCTACTAAAACCTCCCCATCCCAATCTTATGGGTTGTATTCTTATCACTGTAAATTGAGATTTTATCTTTTAAGTCGTGGTCTGAAATTAAAGATGGCACCAAAGTGAATTAATCCATCTATAAATAAGGATACTTACTACCAAGTGTTTGAAAAAAATTGTGTATAATATTGTGAGAAAAGAAAGTGCCACAATATAAAAGTATGAGAGAGATTGGTGAAAATATAATATTCTTTAAGTTGCATTAAAAAATGCAAAACTTTTGATGTATGGCATTAAAAATATGTTCTTATGCTGTGAAATATGCTTTGAGGTGAATTATACTATTGTAGACGCCGAAGAATGCATTATTATAAATATATATAGCACCTTAAACACTCTTACCAAAGCATGTTTCAGAGCTTAAAGTCCACCAGAATAATCTATGAGTCCCATGAAAAGCCTGCAATTGGATGTCCCTTTTGGCATATTTTATCTTTGTGAATGATGTTATTTAATTTTTTACTTTCCACCATTAACAAATAATTCTCCAAAAAAATTTCAGTTCGTAGATATCGAAAAGTTATGTCACTACAACAAACTGTGCATTTAAAGGCGGTTGGTTGAACATCCAAAGGCGGTTAAAATCGCCTTAGTATGATACAGTCGGCGGTTGAACATCCGCATCAGTTATCATGGTCAAGAAGTCAAACAAAGGCGGTTTGAGAAAAACGTTGGAATATTCGCCAAGATAAGACAAGGGCGGTTAACCAGGCGGATAAAGTCGTCGTAGAGCATTCCAAAAAAAATGAAAAATTCATATGAAGGCGGTTATACGAACCGCCTGGTTATTCACTACAACGGTGTTTTACGTGGCGGATTTACCGGTCGTTGATTACTCTTTGGAAAAATGCAAACATTTCAATCTGGCGGTTGGTTAACCGCCTCAGTAAAAGTATTTTTTTAAATTAAATAAAATATGAAATTGTTTTATTTATTTAAAAAAGGTGAAACATATTTATTTTTTAAAGTATTTAATTTATTCTTAAAAAATAAAAAAATCACCATAAACTATCAGAGCAACGTATTTTTTTTAAAAAGGTAAAATTGTTTTTAATTAATTTTTTTTATATAAAAAATACAATATTTTTTTATTCAAGACTTTATAAACATTGATGCATGGAGAATATTTATGCAAAAAGTAAACATTTTTCATTCTTTAAACTGGGAAACAGTGTGATATACATATACAGCAGAGGTCAATTGCCATACAAAATCCAAATAGATAACTAGGCAAAAAAATACCCATGTTCTATGCAAAACTAAGTAACTACTAACGTCCAAAATATACCCAGGTTATAGGCAAAACTAGGTAATTTCTAGCATCCAAAAAATGGACCTTGGTACTGCTGTTACATGAAAAACATCAAAATTTGACACTTCAATGTCAACATCCAAAAGAACCAAGTTCCATGTACAACCACTGTAATATCCAGAATACATGTCCTATGAAAAACTTCCAAATAATGCGAAATTAAAATTATGGTGGTAGGGGTGCTTGATTTGATGTTGTTGGCCCATCAGAAGGGTTATGACTAGCATGTGAGGACTTTCTGATTCCAGGAGAGCCCAACTCAACAACCTGATATAGTGGGAAAAAAATAGCATACATTAATCCATTAATGTTTTAGAAGAATGTATGTTGAGAAAACAGAAAAAAAGAAGAAGAGAAAAGTGAGTTAGAGAATTGTAGAGACTTGTATTATTAATAGAGGCAGAGTACATGATAAGTACTGTTTATACACTTATCATGTAAAATATATCCTGACATAAGAATAACTCACTTCAACAGAACAGAAACAAATTACTTAATAGGTAAGAGAGTGCAACTGAGGAACCAAATAGTCCATACACACTATAAATCCAAGACATGTAATTATATCCCAGCAACTATATATTTCATACACACAAATATGAGAGTGAAAATTTTAATATATATACCAGAAACCATATAATCTATACAGACTAATAATCAAAGACAACTGAATATATATCCTAATAAACATAATCCATACCGAGTAATATTCCAAGACATTTTGAATAATAGTACCAGCAACCAGTATGGTATCCATACACAGAAATAATCCAGGACATTTACAATATATATAGCAGAAATCATATAATCCATACACAGTAAGAAACGAAGACATTTTGAATATGTATACCTTCAACCATTTAATCGATACACAGACAGCTTATGATATATAGTATATAATCATAGACAGCTTAATATTAAAATCCCAGCACAGCAAATCCAGCATGTACAACAAACCCAATGAAACAACATGTACGACAGAAGTACCACAGATTTTATACATTGCAATAGAACCACAGATTTTACAAAGGAAACAGTAAGTGAAATATAGTTAAACTGATGGTGCAATTCGTAGAAAAGGGGTCATATACATGATTAGATGGTAACTGACCAGCAAAAGTATGCATAAAAAGTGCCATTTGCGCTTTCAATGTGTCGATTTCTAGCACCTTGCCCTTTATAGTGTCCAATTCTTCTTTCAAGACATCATACTCAGCTTGTGTAGGACCAGTAGAAGAAGTTGAGGCTGAACTAGTAGATGTTCTACGGATTTGGCTGGGGACCACCCCAAAACCCATGCCACTAACGCGACCTGGGTGTTCCTTCCCAAAAACATGTACAAAAGCCTCTTGTTCAGTATTGGCTTGTTCTATCTGTGCAAGTAATTGGTCCTACATACAGGGCATGAGAACCATGTAACAGTGCTCCTTAAAGGTAGACAGTAATGTAAAAAAATAAATTACAATGATAATTTCATACATTTTTCAGCCTAGATTCGTCACACACAAAATTGCCATCTCTTTTTATGTGAGAAACAACATACATCTCACCTCTGCTATATTTGCGTCCTTCTTGTATTTCCTGACATTTGGCATCACACAAAGGCCATTATTACAACTATTTACATAAGCAGAATACAATTATAATAAAAAATTAAACATGTTTTAAAAGACCATACCAGCTCCCTTTTCCTCCTTGCTAAAGTCTTTGAGCCAAGTGTATGTGGAATTGTTTGTTTCTGTCTATTTGCAGTATTGATGATACTATACTTCTGCATGTTGAATGAAAATAAATTTATTATTTTTGAATAGAACAGACAACAACCAACAAATCTTTTTGACATTAATCATTACCTTTGCTTTCTCACTTGTTTTATATGTCAAAAAGCTTGCCCATTGTTCCCTTGTCATGCCATCAGGGTATAAATCAAGGTTTTCCTGAAACGATTTGTCTTTTTGATATATCTCATTGGCCAGTCTCCACCTATTGTCTTTCCACTTCTTACCCATGTTGCCCATTCAATAATGGTAGTGGTCATCATTATCCATAACGAATCTCTTCTGCAAGAGAAATTTGAGCCAAAAATTATACATAATAATTTAATTAAAACTTTAACATATTTTAAAATTAAAAAACCATTGCTACCTTAATAGTGTTGACCCAAACATCAGTCTTGTAGATGTCATCAACGTCAGGCCACCTTGCATAACTAATAGGAAATATGTTAGGGTTGCACGCAATGTGTCCCAAAAAACCACCCAATAGGCCAGCTGCCTCCCCAACAGGTTGATTCTCTTCATTCCATTCGACAACTACTTTCTTATGAGGTGGAAGTACCAAAAGATCCCGCACACGTAATCTCTCATCATCAGCCACTCCATTATCAGCTATTACATTGTTGTTTAATGCAAGAAGAAGATAAAAACTATATTGTGAGAATATGTTAATCAAGTATAACATTAATATAAGAATGCAATATTGGTTACAACAGATGTAGTTACCTAACACTTGAACAACCCAATACTTATTGCTTGTCCTTTGGGAAGGGTATGGTAGGATATGTAGATGTGGAGAGTACTTATATGTAGATGTGGTAGGATATGGTATTGAGTTATAGCTTATTTATTTTTCTCATTTATTTTTGTACTTTTCTTTCATTTTATTTTTCTCTTGTATAGCTAATTTATTTTTACATGTAATTGGTTCTGTCTCTCTTTTTCTCTTTTATCATTTTCTGATCATGGTCTTTTCTGTTGTGTAAGCTCTGTACATGTCTCAAATGTTTGTTCACTACCACTCATCATTTGTGTGGAATCATTGATGTGGAGACCCCTTCAAGTCATTTGTTTTTCTGTTATCATAATGGGTTAATTGTTTCAGTTGCCATCTTTTCAGTAACTCGAAGGTACTAAGGGTGGAGATAGGAAACACATAGGTGGGTGTGAAAGTTCATTTTGCGGGCAATCTTCATCTTTATCGTCATCAAAGCTGAAGTTGAGCGACTGTGGAGAAACGACTGTGTTGCATATGTCTCGAACAAACAAGAATCCGCGAAGGATATTCTATGGATGCCCTAACTACAAAAGACGTGACAACTGTCATTTCTTTGAGTGGCTTGATGAACCAACTTACCCTAACTACATACACAAGGATAAATTGTTGCAACTCTATGACAATTTGTTGAAAATATTGGTAGCAGTGCTAATTATACTTGGAATTGTACATGGGATTACCTTATATAAGATGTAAAAAAACTTGTTTACTATGATATTTTATAGGCTTAGGTTTCAAAGGTACATTCTGTTTTATTCTGTTTGTACGTCAAAAGTCCTTCACTTTTCTAGTTGAGCTTCAAAGCATAATAGGGTGCATTGCATAATATTTTAGGCTTCTCTTGATTAGTATTCATATTTTATTATATTATATTTTGAATTTATGATGATATCAATTTATGCCTCACATGCACAACGACATTACTCTCTCTTTCCATGTTCTTTCCCCAATCTTCTCAAGGGAGGTCTTCCTTCTCTGGCTACTACAAAAGAGCTGATGATCACATTTGGAAGTCCTAAAAAAAAATTCCAGTTCCAAGTGAAAGAACAGGTCACAGCTAAGGAGCAATGTGATACGTATACGGTCTTCACGTGTATATTTAAAACACAGAATTGGACTTTACCAAATTATAACACTTCCATCCAATTAATTGTGGAAATCTCACTTTATAGTTTCGACTTAATCTTGGCGTCCATGCTTGACACTTGTATGAAATAAGTATAATAAGCCCATGCTAGCAATTGGCACTTCAAATTTGGAAGAAATACAATAAGCTTATGCTAGCAATTAGCACCACTCATTTCAAATAATATATTTTATAGATGAAGTTTAAAGTGAATATGTACTACTACCTTGTATATAATTTCTGAATTACATACAGGACAAGAAAGATGAGTACCAATTTAGATATTTCTTGTATATACTTGAAAAAAATACAACTTTTTCTAGTGGAACGTCTTTACTACATTACTCTCTTTTTTTTAAATAATAATACTAATAATTTGTAATATTTACGTGAGTAATAATATATTTTTACTATATCAAACATAACTTATATATACAAGAAATATTTTGTTCACGCAAATATTTGAAAAATTGAAATTAATAATGGTTCATACATTATAATCGAACCTTCTGCATAATTGTGCCTTCCGTTGGATTTTCATGTTTTGCACTTTAATAAGTAATATGTAGTCCCACCATTAAGTGTGTTTTTCTCCAACAAATTTATATAAAAAATTGAAATAACACGATATTTTGGTAATTTTCCATCAAAATTATCAGTCAAAATCAAAAGATAAAATAAAACGTTACGTACAGGTGCTTCTTTATTAACAAAATTGCCTTTGTTTACCAAATTCCGCCTCCAAAATTCATTTCAGGGCGGTTTGATTTCAAGCGCCTCTGTATTACCAATATGAACGACGCCTTCCCAAAGCCGACAACCAAACCGCCTTTGCTTTCTGCATAATCGACGACGGTTGAGAACAAACGCGGCCTTACCCGCCTCAGAAAACCTTCACACTGAGGCGGTTACGATTAAACGCCAGCATTCCGATGGGTTGTTCTACAAATATTTGACGGTCAATTTTTCCGCTTGCAAAACCGCCTGCATTGTTTCATCGAAGGCGGTTTCCTAGTAACCGCCTGAACATATCCGACGGCAATGCCCACTTTTCTTGTAGTGTGTAGAATAAAAAAAATCACCTGATTCAGACTTCCAAGCCAAAAAAATCACATATTAATTTTTGTTTTAAAAATGGACCGTCGAAACAAGACCACATTATATTATACTATCATTTTTTTCAAAAACCTTGTTTTAAAAAGCTACATCCCGCTCCGCTCTCTTCCACTTCCATTGTTAATCTCAACAAAAACAAAACACACACACACACAATCTCACTGTGTTTGTGAGCTCCTATCTCTCTTTAATGGATGTGGAGGAGCTTGCAAGATAGAACCAGGTCATTCTTCATGCACTACATATGAAACAAAGTTAGATGTTTACTTTTTGTACTACTTTTTACAATTACAAGATTTTTAAAAAGAAGATTGTGTTTGGTGTTGATTCGAAAAGAATTTAGAGGCTTTTGGGTTTAAACACTCTTATAATATCTTTATTGCAAATTCGAACTGTGTTTGTGAAAGTTAAAATATGCCAAACGAGGTGTCATTGCATAGATCTCGAAAAGTTACGTGAAATAATTTTTTTTTACTTAATTCGGATACCTGAGTCAAAAATTATGGCCTTCCAACGTTTTATGGTTCGTAAGTTGATTTTTTTGTACCATGTGTCAACACCAGACGAGTCACGCCTAAATTAGGTGTGAATGCCTCGTGAGTCATGCCTAACTTAGGGGTGACCATTTATGTCCATATTGGGCATGAATGAATGCTATAGATTCGTAAATAGTTTCAAAATAGCAATATTTTTGTAATTATTTATTAAAAGACCAATATTTTAATTTTTTTTGCCGCAGTTCATGTCTATACTATTGTGTACTAATATACACTCCACATAGGTAAAGATTTGGCACTGTCTTAGAGTTCATGTTTATGTTATGTCACCCTGATAAGTTACAACTTGTTTTGGATATATTGGGTTCAATAAATTATAACTATCAGAGAAAATCAACGGTTAAGAATTAGTGTCAAACTATAATAGTTTGGCACCGTGACAAATGATCTTATATATATATATATATATATATATATATATATATATATATAAATAATTGTAATTGTTAATCTATGTGCATATCATGTGTATAATTTATTTAGTAATGAATCAATTCTTATACGAAAACATGACAGGATTATTTTTAATTTATTAAGTTACACATATTAATTAATTATTAATAAATTACAACCATCAAATACACCTAATTAAATTAACAATTCAAATTGAGACCAAATGGTGGTAGCTTAGTTGGCGTATGAGAGCTGAGTAGATAGGGATGAGAGCATGTGTTCAATTCTCCCAGTACCACATTTTGGGGTGGGGGTTTAGGACTTAATTCTGGACATGTCCCAAATCAGACTAGTCTCGAAGCGATGGATCGATTGGAATATTTCTAAAAAATAAATAAATTCAAATTGAGTATATAACTTCTTATTCTTTCACCTATATGAGTTAGATCTTATCTCTCCTCTATCTCTACATATGATTTTATTCTCTACCAAATAATATTTATATCACAATTTTAATATATTATTTCTCATCATATGCATAACCTTAAGACTGAATAGATGTCAAAGAAAGTTCATTTCACTGGCAAGTAAATATTAAACCACTTTATCTTTTATTTATAGAAAATAATTTTTAGGTTTAACACTTATAAAAAGAGGTTGTGACCCAAGAGTTATTGATCTGACGACCCAGCTAGATGTCAAGATTTGACCTACCCAAAAAATAATTAATCTCAAAATTGGATTAGCCAAACCTATTAGGGCTTTGAATATCGATTGGTATCTTACAAACAAATGCGGCGGAGAACTTGGGAAGGTTTCATATCACTATTTAGTAAAAGAGTAATGAGTTCAATTCCTGAGAAAAATAGTTAATTATTTAGTCAACAATGGTTAATAATATTATAAAAAAACACTAACATTACGTCAAACATGATGGATCCAAAGGAACATGATTAATAAAATATGGAGTAAAATGCGGCGAAGAACCCGGGGGAGATTTCATAACGTTTTTTAATAAAAGGGTAGTGAATTCAATTGTTGAGAATAATAGTTAATTATTTACTCAACAATAGTTAATAATATTTAATAAAATTATAAAAAAAACACTAACATTACGTCAGCCATGATGGATCCAAGGGAAAATGATAAATAAAATGTGGAATAAAATGCGGCGGAGAACCCGGGGGAGATTTCATATCCCTATTTAGCAAAAATGTAGTGAATTCAATTCCTGAGAATAATAGTTAATTAATCAGTCAACAAT